TGTAGATTGTATTTTGGGTATGGACATAATGAATGCTTTAAGGACAGCGGTTGATCTTGAGAGATGTAAGATCAAGTTACATGATGTTAGGTTACAGACATTTCCAAAAAACTGCAATTTTGAATGAAAACACCAAACTACCACCGCACTCTGTATCTTTTGTGAAACTTTCATACTCTGATATCTCCATTCCATACAAAGCTAAGGAGCGAAATACTCGTCCTGAATGGGAGGAGATCTCAGCAACTTCCGATGCTGTGAAAGCAGTGTGGGGTTAGTTTGGCAGATTGTCAATTCGACATGGAGCACTACATCGAACATTTGAGAGTAATAATGGCAGACGATGACATTGGTAAATTATTGTCCCAGATGTCAAACGTCGCCTGATAATGTCTCTTCACCATGACGGCCCAGTGGGTGGCCATCCCGGAGTCAACAGGACACTCTGTAACATTCAGCAATCCTACTATTCGGTGGGTTTGAAACAAGATGTCTGAAAGTACTACTGTGACAAATGTGTTGCACGGAAACGACCTGGGAAGCGTCGAGTGCCCGCGAAGGAGTATGTCACTGGTTCTCCCATGGAACGACTCACGACAGACAAAATGGGTCTGATAGATCGCACGTCATGGCCGCTTACAGATCCGCTAGGCATGAGTCTACGGGATTTACACTAAATGAGTTGGTCTTGGGCAGAGAGGTTCGACTCCCAGTTCATCTAATGACAGGAAATCCAACCTCTGTTGCTATGGAAACAAAGGAACACGTGCAAGAATTGCAAGCTCAGTTTGAGCAATCTTTCTGAAGGGCTCGCTGTTAAATGAAGCATGCTTCCGACATACGGAAAAAGCGCTATGACATTGGATCAACCGCAAAAGAAACATCACCTCAAGTAGCATTGCATGAAAAGTTGTCAATTAAATATCTGGGTAGGTTTTGTCAAAGTTTCTAAACTCATTACCTTGTCTGGAGAAATGAAATTTTATGATTAAAAAAACAAAGCAGATGACAATAAAACCGTTTGCCCAAACGCATGCCTCATTTGGCACGTCGCCGCAACCACGAGTTTCAGCATGATAACGCCCGTGCCCACACTGCGAGAGCAAAAAGAGACTTCCTCCAGCAGAATTGCATCAGAACCATGCAGTGGCCTGCCCTCAGTCCCGATTGAAATCCCATTGAGCACCTGTGGTCGGAGATTCAAAAACGGCTGAATGACGTCCGACCAAGGCCGACAACTGCAGCTGAACTGAATCAGGCGTTCCTCAGCGTGTGGGCTCAAGTGCCTATGGCCTTCATCAACCGCCTCATCCATTCCATGTCTCGACGATGCACGGCAGTCAACAACGCACATGGCGGACACACGAGTTACTGACTTGTGATGCCAGTTTCTCAGAGGCTAGTGTTGTGTTTCACTTTAAGAACATTTGACACTTTAATTTCAACCTTGATGATCAGTTATGCGAAGTTTCATATATTTAATATGTCCCAAAGTATGTTTACAGTGTTTAGACAAATAAGGGTTCTCATATATCTATCCATAGTGACGTTTCTTTTAGCTTCGTGCTATAAAATAATATCACAGTACATATTCGTTCGACGACCAGCTGTGACATTAGAGACGATCAGCTGGTTGTGACGTCATGGTTGTTTTTACTGTTAAGATCCCGTTGGATTGAGATCAGCGGTGAATTTCTGCAGTCGCTTGATATTGTGAGTATTTCAGTAGCTTACCACGCTGTGTTAGCTACTATATTGTATATTCATTGAGTAATTCAATATAAATCCTTATTGATAAATATACTTGCTAATTTGAGTGGTTTATTCGTGTAAATAAATTGATAGCGTTATTGTTGACAAAGATATCCTGTTCTGTGTTTATTTGAAAATGCAAACTGTGTACGCATGTCCAGTTACCTGAATCCCCCAGATCCGTCACAGTTCGTATGGTCGTCGATAATGGAGTACATGTTCTTAGCCAATAACAACGCCCGGCCCAAGGTTAAGGAAATCCCCTCTGTGTGACAACTCGAAAATCGGTGAGTGTGTGTGTGTGTGTGTGTGTAATTACGTGTGCAAGTAATCGGAGGGAACCAAGGTCATAGGTTATATCCGACAACGTAAGGTAGTGTTTATTGACATTTATAGATAGCGCAGGGGATTAATTAAGGCTCCTGCCTTCAGGGATCTTATATTAAGGGTGGATACGCCGAATCTTTGCTGGGTATATTAAATAAACAATGGATATATAATATCGGTGCACTTATAAAACATATTGAAACAATTAGGTATTTTGAATATATGAAGTTTACAACAAACCTAATGAAGTGATTTCCAATATGACAATAACCCTAGTCTTGATATCCTTGACTGTTGGGGAGCTTTTGTCCTCAAAAGTGTTTCAAAACTATAATTACTGTAAGCTCAGGCAATATAACTGCATATTGCACCTACAGGTTGTCAAGGATTTGCTACAGGCAATGATCATGATTCATATAATTGAAATGACGTCAGGAACGAGATATAGCCACGTGCAAGTAAAAAAATGAACAGCAGAATGGTAAACATCCCACAGATAGGCAGAGGCTCCAGCTCGCTCGCACACACAAACCACAGATGGGCAGAGGCGCCAGCTCGCTCGCACACACAAACCACAGATGGGCAGAGGCGCCAGCTCGCTCGCACACACAAACCACAGATGGGCAGAGGCGCAAGCTCGCTCGCACACACAAACCACAGATGGGCAGAGGCTCCAGCTTGCTCGCACACACAAACCACAGATGGGCAGAGGCGCCAGCTCGCTCGCACACACAAACCACAGATGGGCAGAGGCTCCAGCTCGCTCGCACACGCAAACCACAGATAGGCAGAGGTTCTACCTCGCTCGCACACACGAACCACAGATGGGCAGAGGTTCTACCTCGCTCGCACACACAAACCACAGATGGGCAGAGGCGCCAGCTCGCTCGCACACATAAACCACAGATGGGCAGAGGCGCCAGCTCGCTCGCACACACAAACCACAGATGGGCAGAGGCGCCAGCTCGCTCGCACACACAAACCACAGATGGGCAGAGGCTCCAGCTCGCTCGCACACGCAAACCACAGATGGGCAGAGGCTCCCGCTCGCTCGCACACACAAACCACAGATGGGCAGAGGCGCCAGCTCGCTCGCACACACAAACCACAGATAGGCAGAGGCTCCAGCTCGCTCGCACACGCAAACCACAGATAGGCAGAGGTTCTACCTCGCTCGCACACACAAACCACAGATGGGCAGAGGTTCTACCTCGCTCGCACACACAAACCAAAGATTGGCAGAGGCCCCAGCTCGCTCGCACTCACAAACCACAGATGGGCAGAGGTTCTACCTCGCTCGCACACACAAACCACAGATGGGCAGAGGTTCTACCTCGCTCGCACACACAAACCACAGATGGGCAGAGGCTCCAGCTCGCTCGCACACACAAACCACAGATGGGCAGAGGTTCTACCTCGCTCGCACACACAAACCACAGATGGGCAGAGGCTCCAGCTCGCTCGCACACACAAACCACAGATGGGCAGAGGTTTCAGCTCGCTCGCACACACAAACCACAGATGGGCAGAGGCTCCAGCTTTTACACACACAAACCACAGATGGGCAGAGGCTCCAGCTTTTACACACACACTTGGGACTTTTTCAGCCAGCGACAAACCCCGCTCGCGGCCGCCCTTTCAGTCGGACATTTAGTATCACAAATCATTGTATTGAAAAGAACTATATTAGTCTATAATAACTATGTGATTGTATATGTCTCGGCTTTGCCAGCAGATGCATAACCAACTTCAAAAGTCGACACTGGAATGTAATGAAAATGCAATCATGCGAATTTGGCTCTAAACTGTACTTATGAATTTTGATAAGTTTGATAGACACGAACATAGCCGGTGTTATGAATGGGCACAAAAGAAGGAGTAGCGTACAGACTAAACAACACAGACTCCACTCCACAAGCCTGGTGAATATGCTCAGCAATGACGCTCCATAACTTACAATACTTCTGTCCTAACGGTTAACACAATTTAACGGTTTATCATTTTCGCAAAGAGTTAATACAATTTCAGTGTATAAATGCTTACATACTCAGACACGAATATGGGTTATGGTACATTATGTAAGTGTTTCATATGTCGGTAGACAGGTAATAGAGTTATGAACAGGAAATTATACCGTACTGAATATTTTCCGAACGCTGAAAATAATAATGATAAAACCTTGAATCCAACCGGGAGTCTGATTTGCATATCCCAAGCACCCACTGTGTGTCACCATACCCATCAGCCCCTTCACTCTTGCCCGTTGGTATTTCGGGGCAGACTAAGTCTTCATCATTTCCCTGCTTGTCTCCCATGGTTTATCTGACTTATACCAACCGTCTGATTACAATTTGTGACTTATCTTAAATGTGTGATGTAATACATGGACATTGGTCACTGCCCTCCAACGTTTATTTACAGATGCTTTATCGACGACTATTAATCTGTTTAATGATGATACTCGTCACCATGGGCCAGATTAGATAGCATTAACATGCTGTGCCTTGTTTAGAAAATCTTTAAAAACACATTTTATCGGGTACTTTATAACTTTCATTGTATCAAATATTATACGCTCAAACCCTCTACAAAGGTTGGGGTACGAGCTGACTACATTAGGAACAACCACGGTCGACCACCAGTTAGTGTATCAACAGGTAACGTACTTTTACCAGAGATAGAGACAGAAAGGAGGAAAGTCAATATGTAGCTGATGCTGTGACCTGGACTCGAACCACGATCACAGGTTTCTGGTACACAGCTAAGGGGCACAACTTTGCACAGACGACAGAGCCCAAACACCCCCACCCCACCCCCTCTTTGCCCCGTACACTTTAAAGAAGAAATTGTGATATATGCTCCTGAAATAAATCTAAAGCATGTTGTTACTGAAATGTGTTTTTATCCATGACTATGATCAGGTGCTGCCAGGGTCCTAACCATGCATACAGATGACATCATAGAAGAAGTGGGAGGCATGTCCAGGTTCCAGCTCCTCCTCCTCTTCCTCATTATCGGCAGCAAGACAGTTCACCCATGGGGTATGTTGATGATGTCGTTTACCGGCGTCCCCCCGGACTTTTGGTGGTGTGACAAGAACGCTAGTGTAGTCCCTAATGGCGCCATAAACTACACATATGAGCAGCAGTGCCCCTCCGTGGACAGTAACAACACGTGCACCCTCGTGTACAGTCAAGAGAAAAATACGGTGATTAATCAGGTGAGTACATTCTGATGATCACGGAAACAGTAGTGTTGATAAAGTGTTCGTTGTTAAGTACACATTCAGGTTTCAGCCACCAAGCTGGTACCAGCTGCTAGTTGTCGACAATGGAAGCATAAACTAGGTTCCGTTTACTGGCAGCTGATTTGTGACAACCATTGTTTGAAGGAACATTTAATTCCAAAGGCGTGTTGCCATAACATGTGCATGTCTTGAATCTCTTAATTGCCATTACTTTAGGATGCTAGTGTTAATCCTCATAGTATTGTACACTGAATCTCCCATTCTGAACGACCTTTGCAACTATGTCACTGATTCATTACTGTTGTTTATTTTTATGACTTAATCCAAGTCAAGTGACTTCCAGCCCAAATGCGCTATGCCATCATGAGTCATAATTATGGCCATGCAATTTTAGATTATTTACAAAGTCCTCGGATCTAAGTTTATCAGTAAGAGTTTTCAATAGGTAAATAATAATATGAAATGTAGATTATGTAATGAATTTAATGAGACTGTCCAACACATTGTCAGTGGATGCCCAGCTTGGGCACAAACACAGTATCTTAGTACGACATGATGGTGTAGCTCGCTCATTTTATTACCGTCTTTGCCATGCTTGTGGTTTTGACACTGAGGACCATCCATGGTACGACCCGGAATATGTGGAGGGCGTCATGGAAAATGATAAATACAAAATTCTTTGGAATGGCCCCGTATACAGCCTTAGACGTAGCAAGGCCAACAAACCTGATCTTGTCCTTTTTGATAAATCTAATGAAATCATTTATATCATTGAATTTTCTGTCCCTTTTGACACTAATGTGATTGACAAGATTGAGGAAAAAACATGGCAAATACGCGGACCTCGCTTTCGAAATGTCACGCTTGCATCCCCAAGTACCAAGTTGTCCTACTCCCCATTGTTTTCGGTGCCTTAGGTTTGGTACCTCCCAATCCGTTGACTGACATTGGGAGAGTACCCGGATTTTCTACCAGCAATACAGCCCTTCTGACAATCTGGGTAATGCAGAAGGCTGCAGTGTTGGGTTGTCTTCACATTCTCCGAAATGTTTTGGGTGGGTTTGACTAGGCAGCGCTTCCTGGGAGAAGTCCCATTCGCTGTCTGGGCTGCATGAAGAGGGGGCAAGGGCCCTGAGCCGATGATGAGCCTAACCAGCCTGACTGTGCCAGGATCATCCAAACCCTCTTTGCTGCATTTTTTATTTTAATCTGTAAATACTAATACTAATAATACTACTAATAATAATAATCATAACTCATGATGAAAACAAGACATTCCACAGTTTACCTTAAACGAGCCAAGGATGTGGAACATAATGTCAATGTCACCGTTGAGTTTGTTGAAGATTCTGTACTGTTGGGCGGTACAGAAATAAGTCGAGCCTGTCGCTTGGATGAAGTCAGCTGGCCTGATAAGTGAAACAGAAGGCTTTCTGTTCGCTGGTCAGAACGAGACACTTCCCACTCGTCAATGCATCAAAATGGAAATATGAATTGTAGATTATGCTATGAATGTAATGAGACTTTCTAACACATTGTCGGTGGATGCCCAGCTTTGGCACAAACCCGCTATCTTAAGCGATATGATGGCGTGACTCGATCCTGGCGTGACACTGTCGGGTAGCCTAGTGGTTAACGCGTTCGCTTGTCACGCCGAAGACCAGGGTTCGATTTACCACATAGGTTCAATGTGTGAAGCCAATTTCTGGTGTCCCCAGCCGTGACATAGCTGGAATATTGCTAAAAGCGGCGTAAAACCATACTCACTGATTGGTTACACGTGAGCAGCTCAGAGATTAACAGTTTCCTTAAAAACATAAACACTGTCCTCCTTCATAGAGCACACAAGGGACCACAAAGTGACTTCGTTGTATCCGTCTGTTCGTTAGAAGGCTGTTCAATATAAACGTAGTTTTCTGTATCTCAATAAATATGAAACTAATATAGCATTTTTTGCATTTTTAAGTTATTTCCTAGTAACCCCTTCCTTTTCAAGAGTATATAGAGAATACTACACTCATTCTACATCACGAGTTTCGTAAAAATGGTATCTAACGAGAATGAGCGTTATATTATTTTTTAACCAAGTTAAATATGTTTTTAAGTGTAAACACATAACAATTTAAAGTTCGTTAACATACCAAACAGAACTTGTAAGATTTGCTTGACAACGGTATAAGGATCTATACCGAAACGTCGCTTAGTACAGTATTAAAGAAGTTGTTATCCATAAAGTTGTGTCTAACTTGTCATCCGTCAACTTCTAAGTAATGCCTATCAAACAATCTACCAAACTGAAACCGGTTGCACATCTGGTTGCGCATGAATATTAACATATGCCCAAACATGGGCATTTCTATGCATACGAATTAACCACCTGTTCCTGCTGTTGTGTGAACACCTGACAGCACCAATGAGTGACCTAGAAATAAAAGAACTCGAGTCAGCTTGACAGCTTCAAACGAAGGGCAAGGTCACCAGGGGAATAACAAAAGACAACCATGATCTACTCACATCGTTTTACGCTAGAGATCCATAGGGAAGTTAATGATCACACCTGGGATGTTTTGGGACACAAAATCAGAAGTCCGGCACACTTCCACCACGGAGTTTTCGCGAATGATTTGTATCGAAACTGTTCGTTTTGAGTAGTCTGATCGTGCAGTCGTGTACGTTAATCCTTAAACAAACAACTTCGTCGTCGTCGAAAACATTGCCGCAAAACACACTTCGAATGGGACACTGATGGCACAACCGGATCATCGAACGTGGGTAATAAATAACAAGACAACATGGGCCTGCCAATGGGCGAACTGTGGCCCATGGGCCCATGGAATTTTAACGAAATCTCGAAATGATTACTTAATTACATGCGGTGTCGAACTGACCAATAGGAATTATGCTTCAATGCGATTGAGGAAAACTTGAGTGAATATTGTTACAAGAAAGCAACTTTTAAATGCTTTGCCAGTTTTGGTATGAAAATGGTAACAGTAAAGAAAAAGCAACAGCCTTCTTGTGATAATTCTCATATTTTCATTAGTACGTTGTATCTAATTACAGTGTCGGCCTTATTTACAGGTGATTCTACAATACCTTCTCTCGGTCAATTACAATCTGCCACACCACGCGTGTTCGTTTTGTTACAAATGTGGTTTTGCAAAACATCTACGTATTATCAAATGTCCAACTACAGTAAGCCTTAACATTAATGGCATATCAATTAAACAGGCATTAAGCCACAACCACACACTCACTAAGGTGGAGTCTGATTTCAACACGGGGATGGCGGTGGGGGCTGGATGTCGGGGGTTCCATTTTGTTTCTTGGGGTCTGGATATTCTTGGGGGCTGGATATTCTACATAGGTAGGCCAGGACATGCTTAATCTATTCGTGAACACCTGGTGTCATCAAAGATTTTCAGTGATCAATTCATATAATTTTCAATACTGTTTTGCCTTCCACGTTTAGTGGAATTTCTTTCGGTGGACAATCGAGACTGGTTATTCTCTGGCGTTGATGTTTTAAATTTGGTAACATTTTGAAAAATATAATGTGTTCCCAAAATGCTGAAAAAAAGAAACATCTAGCATTCACAGGATATTATGGATGTTCTAAAAAAGGCACCTTCTTTCAGGGAAAAAAAACGTGAAGCGATGACCGAAATTTTTTTTTGTCTCAAACGAAAACCCCATATGTAGCCACGGGATACATTAGATTCAAGTTCGCTTCTAATAGATTTGTGGCCTACCAACGAAATAAATATAGAAAACACGTCATGAGTAACAAGATTGTTTAGTTGGCATACTACTACCGGGGAACCCATTCGTTGCTGGATGAACAGAGGCAAAGTTTCTAAGCCAAAGGAGACACCACATGTTCTATAATTTGTTTCCATGTGAACCAATTTTTACGAATAAATGTCTACTCATGTGATATTACTTTTTCATCTATAAACACGCTGAAAAACAGTTTTTACTGAATATGAATATGAATAATGAATACATATTGTGTAAATGATTACATCGTCTGTTACAAATTTAGATTAAAAAGAATTGTTAAGTTATTAGATTGCAATAGCCTTGTAGGTTATGGTGTGAGCAGCTTGTGGTAGCCAATGCAGAATGGGTGTTGAACAAGGTTTAGGTTACATCACGGCGTGTCAGCTTGATGTGAGTGTGAGTGAGTTGGGTTTAACGCCGCTTTTAACAGTATTCCAGTTATATCGCGGCGTGTCAGCTTAATGTGGGAGGAAAGCCCGAAGTGATGCAGGTCTCGGTCAGCTTGATGTGGGTGGAAAATGCCGTGATGTTAGACGTTTATCACTTTGTCGAAACCCACGAACATTGGTATGGTGCTGACAAACCCAGAAACATAATCGGGGCGAGCCGGGATTCGAAACCACTATCATATCTTTCTGGCGTGCCCAAGGGACGCAACTCTGCACACCGAATTGCGGCGCCTTAGACGACTGGGCCACCCGAGATGAAGAAATACTATTAGATAATAATAACGTTCTGTTGTGCTTTCTTTTTCATCATGTATTTTGTACATTGTCATCCTGACAAGGTAATATGCTAAACTTAACAAATATTGAACCTTGAGCAACATATGGTCCTTTGTGAAGCTTCACTATAAACAGTAAAAACAAGAAACGCAATATTTGTGTGGAATAGAATATGGGCGCAGTTTATTACAACATTTGTGACGAAACCCTGGGGGGAGAGGTTTAAGACTAATAATAAAATAATAACTGAGGGCCGATATATCATACGTGAGCAGCTCAGAGCATAAACAGGAGGGGCTTGTCTCAATGGGGTCGCCACAGATGAGTAACCCCCCTGAGCTAGAGTCGACAAGCCGCCGAGTCAAATCTGGTAAATATGCACAACCCGGCTAGCCGCCGGTAACCACCACTTCTGGCCAGCCGCCAGTAACAAACCCCTCCGGCCAGCCGCCGGTAAGGCCACAC